GAGGTCTTGAGTGGCTCCCCCCCTCCCCCTGCTCCTCCACAGATGTGGGTGGAAAATAAGGGAGGGGAGGAGAGTAGGCGGGAGTCCTTAGGCGGTTTTCGCCCACAGACGCTACCACCGTGGGAGTGTGTGGGCAGAACGGCCTCAGAGCAGAACAATTGAGGCGCCTGTCCCCTCCCCCATCGCCTGAGCTGAAGGAACAGGCCCAAGTTAATGAGGAAGGCCACACCGGGGGAGGGAACAACTGAGACAACGAAGGGGGCCCTGGGCAGAGGTCCTAGGGGAAGAAAGCAAGATGAATGAACAACACCAAATCTGGGAAAAGCGGAAGGGAGAGAATAGGGATCCACTTGGCTCATGGAGGGGGAAAGCCATGGAAGGGGCCACACCCCTCCCTGTCAGCTGGCAAGGGGTGAAGCTGACCAGCAGTGGCCCTCAGTATCCACTGTGGGTAGAGCGGGGGTCCTACATTCACCTTAGCTTGGGGCTGTCACATTTAAGAGGTGTTGAGACTAGTGAGTCTCAACCTGTGCAGCCCCTTCCTCATGAGGTCTTGAGTTGGCAGCTGGGTTATGCCAACTACAAGTGTGCTGGTAGCCTAATGTGCTGAAGGTCAATTTGCCCCAGACCAGAAAAGTGGGGGTAAGAGAGGCTTACTTTCTTTTCTTTTTTTTTGTTGTTGTTGTTTTCGTTTTTTATTTCTTATACATAGGCCATCAGCTCTTTGTGCTTCTGGCTAGTCTGGAATAGCCCTGGCATTCTATGAACAATGTCTGATTCTCAGGCTGTGCACAGCCTTGAGCACTGGACAGAGAGCATTCATAGGAAGGAGGAGGGGGAAGGAGGCAGGAAAGAGGACAATTGTTAGTGTGGGTAGGGACCCAGCAGGGGCATTTGCACTAACAGTCTCTCTCGTGCCTCTACTTCTCAGGGCAAGTGCCCGAGCCATGGCACTGCCTCGGACTCTGGGGGAGCTGCAGCTGTATCGGGTCTTGCAGCGAGCCAATCTCCTTTCCTACTACGAGACGTTCATCCAGCAAGGAGGAGATGATGTCCAGCAATTGTGTGAGGCGGGTGAGGAGGAGTTTCTGGAGATCATGGCACTTGTGGGCATGGCCACCAAGCCCCTCCATGTCAGACGTCTGCAGAAGGCCCTAAGAGAGTGGGCTACCAATCCAGGGCTCTTCAGCCAACCAGTGCCTGCTGTGCCTGTCTCCAGCATCCCACTTTTCAAGATCTCTGAGACTGCTGGTACCCGTAAAGGGAGCATGAGCAATGGGCATGGCAGCCCAGGGGAAAAGGCGGGTAGTACCCGCAGTTTTAGCCCCAAAAGTCCCCTTGAACTTGGAGAGAAGTTGTCACCACTGCCTGGGGGAACTGGGGCAGGAGACCCTCGAATCTGGCCAGGCCAGAGCACTCCAGAGTCGGACGTTGGGGCAGGAGGAGAAGAGGAGGCTGGTTCACCCCCCTTCTCCCCGCCTGCAGGGGGAGGAGTCCCTGAGGGGACTGGGCCTGGGGGAATGGTAGCAGGTGGAGCTGGGAGTAGTCCGGACCGGCTGGAGCCAGAGATGGTACGCATGGTAGTGGAGAGCGTGGAGAGGATCTTCCGGAGCTTCCCAAGGGGTGATGCTGGGGAGGTCACATCCCTGCTGAAGCTGAATAAGAAGCTGGCACGGAGCGTGGGACACATCTTTGAGATGGATGATAATGATAGCCAGAAGGAAGAAGAGATCCGCAAATACAGCATCATCTATGGCCGCTTTGACTCCAAACGGCGAGAGGGCAAGCAGCTGAGCCTGCACGAGGTGAGGACTCAGGTCCTCTCAGGATAGCCTTTGACTCCCAGGCCGCTTCCACAAACCTTTGAGATATCCTGTATCCTCCAGCCCTTGTTCCCTTCCCTGTTGTCCAAGACCCTAGGCCTTGATCTTCTCTATAACCATACACACTCAATTGAGGGGGAAGTAGAGATTGAGGCAAGAACCCCGTTGTTCTGCCGTGTGTCACTCAGAGCCCCAGAGTTATAGAGGAGGCTCCAGGCACTCTCAGAAAGCTGTGGGTGTTTTCTTGCTCCCTCAGAAAACTCCTGTGCATTGTCCAAACCAAAGCACGTTTCCTACGGATGGGCCTGTTTGATGATGATGGTGTAAGGAGGTCTAAACAGTGAATGTGGGGATGTAAGGATTCTGACTGGCTGTCCTCTTGCCACAGCTGACCATTAATGAGGCTGCTGCCCAATTCTGCATGAGGGATAACACGCTGTTGCTTCGGAGAGTGGAGCTCTTCTCCCTGTCTCGCCAGGTGGCACGGGAGAGCACCTATCTGTCCTCTTTGAAAGGCTCCAGGTAAGACCCTTCCCCCCTTCCCCAAGTCCTTCCTAGGTTGCAATCCTGCCAAGGAGTTGGATCAAGTCCCAACTTCAAGCTCAGGCAACTCTAGGCCTGCTTCTCATCCACTTGCTTATTTTTCTTTGGCCAGTACAGTTTGTCTGAGGTCTGGTCTAACCTTTTCCAACCCTTCAACCTCCCAATGGTGAATGGATTTGGAGCAGACTACCCAGCCAGTTTCTTTGCAGTTTTTTAAGTAGTACATGCTTCTGGCCAGATGTTTTATGTGCCCTGCTCATTCTGGAGCCCTCTTGAGCCTCACTTTCTTTTTTTCTCTTTCTTTGTAGGCTGCACTCTGAAGAATTAGGAGGGCCCCCGCTGAAGAAGCTGAAACAGGAGGTACATTTTTCTAGGGTGCTGTAGGAATGGGATGGCCTACCCCAAACCTCTTCCTTCCCTTGCCAGGTCCTCATTTCCCTATTTGGGGCACCCACAGGTTGGAGAACAGTCTCATCCAGAAATCCAGCAGCCTCCCCCAGGCCCTGAGTCCTATGTACCCTCATACCGCCCCAGCCTGGAGGAGGACAGTGCCAGCCTGTCTGGGGAAAGTCTAGATGGACACTTGCAGGGTGAGTGTGCTTGAGAGCAGTTCTCCTTTCCTTGGTGGGGGAGGTGGGAGTGGGTGGGTGGCGGAGTGAGCTAGGAGCCACTGCCTGGAACAGGGTTGGGAAGTTTGGATGGATGGGGGCAGAAAGACCTGTGGGTCTGGCTGTGTGGTTGAGGGTGGGGTTTCATTGGCTGCAGCCCCTTACCTGACCAGTGCCCATGCCCACAGCTGTGGGGTCGTGCCCAAGGCTGACGCCGCCCCCTGCTGACCTGCCCCTGGCATTGCCAGCCCATGGGCTATGGAGCCGCCACATCCTGCAGCAGACACTGATGGATGAGGGGCTGCGGCTCGCCCGCCTCGTCTCCCACGACCGTGTGGGCCGCCTCAGCCCCTGTGTGCCTGCGAAGCCGCCTCTCGCAGGTGAGGCAGCCAGCAGTGCTGTCCCCAAAAACCCCCAGCCACCCAGGCCCACACATCAGTCCTGTGTCCTGAGACCCTTGCGGGGAGGGAAGAGGGATATACAGTTGCCACCAAAGACAGTAGGAGGGGCTCCAGCTAACCAGACCTTGAATTGAGGCCCTTACTGGGCTGTTTCCACTGGGGAGGGAACAGAAAAATGAGAGATCAGGATAGCAGGAGAGTCACCAGTAAGAGAAGCTTGGTTGGGACTTCCACTATTGCAGGAGGATGAAGCGGGAACTGAGTTGTGGGGATAGGACTGCCCAGCTTGGAAGCAGAGTCCAAAGGGGGTGGGGGAGGACGCTTTGTGTGTGGATAGGGGAAGAGAGAGTGGGCAGGCAGAGGGGCAGGGCAGCGGCTGGGCTGAGAGTGACGCAGCAGACAAAGCCACCAACCCTAGCTTGGTATTTTTAAACTCTGCGTGGGTGGGAAGTGGGGGCGGGGACTGGAAGGGGGGTTCTTGAGGGAGGAACTGGGAGGCTGGCTTCCTGTGTTCCCCCTGATTTGGCTACCCAAAAACTTGGGGAGCAGTGGTTAAAGTAGGTGGGGCTTGGAAGGGGTCCAGAGATGAGTGGGGGAGGGGGGTGGCAGAGTCAGGGGAAGAGGGAGGGGGAGAGGTCAGAGCCAAACCGCCCCCGGAGCTCCTGACAAAACCAGAAATTCCAGCAGAGCAGAGCAGAGGCGGGAGAGACAGAGAGAGAGACACTAACAGAGACAGAGAGCTACACACAGCCAGAAGGGGAGGGGGGCTGTGCACGCGGGTATGGAATCCCCCCCCCAACTCATACACACTCAGTGGGCAGGAGGCAGTTAATTCAAGAAATTCCGTTGTCTTCACATCTTTCTTTCCTCAGTTCACAATCACCTCTGCCCCCAGCCTCTACCTCATGTCTCCTAACTCTTGCCTCCATTCCTTGCAGAGTTCGAGGAAGGGCTCCTGGACAGATGTCCAGCCCCAGGACCCCATCCTGCTCTGGTGGAGGGTCGCAGGAGCAGTGTGAAAGTGGAAGCTGAGGCCAGCCGGCAGTGAAGGTGGATTGGTGTCCTTGACCCGCGACCTAGACTTCTGGCTCACACAGACCCCCACACTCCTTCATCCTCAACATCTAGTCACCACCCCAGAAGGATCCTTCCGCTGCCCTTCTCCTGCCTCCCCACCTGCTCCATGGGCACAGGACTATGGGGCTTCAAGCAATAACACGCAGGGGCCTGGCAAAAGGACATGAGGAGGTTGCATGGTGCCCGCTCACCCCCATTTGGGGACAAGGACTCTGGCTCCACGGGTGGGCGGCTGGGGCTCTCCCCTCCCTCACACATCACACTCCCATTCTCTAGGTGGCTACCAGAGGTGTGAGCAGTAGGACTCAGTGTGGACATGGGGAAGGGGGTATTCCCTGGGAAGGTCCAGCCAAAAAAGAAAAAAATAAGGCACCCTTTCCCCTCTCAGATTGGGGGCCTGGTAACACTGGACCTCCCCTCCTCTTCCTGTCCCCATTTTTGTGCTTCTAGTTTGTTTCTTTAATTTAACAAGTGCTGCAGTTTGCCTGCCCATCCCCATCTCTCCCCCAAGCTCTCAGCAGTTCTTTTTCTCTTGCCCTCTGGGGGATGTAGTTGGGGTTCCTTTTGCCAGCCCCTGGGAGACCTGGGTTGGATTCAGGGTCTCTTCAGGTGGGGCCAGACGGCAGCACCTGTGTGAGCACTTACAGCGTTTTTCTTTTCAGATTGTGTACAGTAGATTATTTATTTTGTTATTTTGGAATAAAATTTATTTTATGGCTTAGGATCCATGACCACCCCCTAAGAAAGAAGAAGGGGCGGTATGGGAGTGTGGGAGTGGAGGGAAGCTGGCAATGGATGGGAAATTATGGAAGAGAAGCAGCAGGCAGGGCCCCCAACACCCAAGAGAGCCACATAGCAAGACTTGGACTCAACTCAGCGCCATGGCTCTGGGTAACACAGGAAGTGTTAAGCCTCCAAAGCTACAGCTGTCCATACATGTTGTAGCTATAGAAACAACCTGGGCAGGACATTTAGGTTAATATCAGAGGCTAGCTAGCACACTGTGATGTCTTAGCCAGTGTCTCTTTCTTCAAGATGTCACACAAGCAGAAGCACACAAATAGATACATGTTCTATGTGGCCTTACCATAGACACGTGACATCTACAGGTAAACTGTCTCAGACACAGCTACACATAAAACAGCCCTTGGATCGCACAATCTCACTCCTGCACTGAAAGCTTCATTTGGCAAGAGTTTGGGGTTTAGGGGGGTTAGTTTTTTAACCTGGACAAAATTCGGATATATGTGTCCAAACTCTTTTTCTTCTCATCCAGGGTTCCCTGGACTTTCCCATTCCCTCAGGGCTGGGGCCCCTTGGCTCCAAGGCCCATTCTCTTGGTCCCCAGCCTCTAGAGTAAATGCATGTGTGTTTCAATATGTATGTTCCAGGTCGGCTCAGAAGGAGCTGCAACACCTCTGTGCCCTAAGCCAAGCTGTCACCCAACCCCTGTCCTGCTCAGCCAGTACTAGCCCTCTATACTTGTGTGTGTTCTGAGGTGCAAGCAGGCATGCTGGGTGTGTCTCACTCTGGAGCCTGAACTTCAGTTCCATTCCACTGCTGGAAGAAAGGGTCACGTGTATGGTGGTAAGGAAGGAGTGGAGTAGCTTTTCCAGGGTGCATTCTCCAGGCAAAGTTTTCCTCCTGATGGAGGAGTAGCTGGAGATGGGAAGCACCTGGATGAGCGGTGTCCACAGCAGGTCCTTGGAGACAGTAGAAAAGCTGTCTCGGGCTCCTCCTCCAGTTTAGATCACCAACTGGGGTTGGCCCTTAGGTCCATGTGGGACATAGAAATCCCAGACTGCCCATAAGGGGAGGGCTGCAAGAGGTGCTGGGCTCCTAAGGACACTCCTCCTGTCTCCCCTTGGCCCTCGAGAAGAAGCTTGGTGAGGTCCTGTTCAGTGGGAGGCAACAAGTGAGGGAACATATCTTCACCTGCCCTGCAAGCAGAAAAGGGAGAGAGGCAGTGGAGTAAGCCTAGCACCCACTCCTGCCCCTACCCAACATCCTCTTCAAGCTACCACTCACCAGGTGCCCCTGGGGAACCCTCCCACTGGCTGATTTAGACAGCTGTCTTCTGCCATGGACACATCTGAGCAGAGCAGGGGTTCAGGACTGGCTACAGCATGCTCCTGAGGCTGGCAAGGCAGCAGGCTTCTACCGGGAACCAGAAGAGGAAATGAGGAGGAGGCTGGGAAAGGATGAGGAGGAGCATGGGCTCAGAAGGGGCTTTGTCACTCACTGGGTGGGAGGCTGGTCAAAAGACAAATTTATCTGGCTCAGGCTGGGGGGCATATGCAGGTGGGTCCTGAAAACAGGAAGGAAACAGGAAATGAGGCAAAGGCACAGTGTTACAAAGTCAAGACCACTGGGTGAACTGCAAAGCACAAACACTTAGTGGCTCACTGACTGGCCTTGGGCAAGCCATTTCTTTTTCTTTTTTTGGTCCTGGGGCTTGAACACTGGGCCTGAGTGCTGTCTGTCCCTGAGCTCTTTCCTCAAGGCAAGCACTCTACCACTTGAGCCACAGCACCACTTATGGTTTTCTGATGGTTAACTGGAGATAAGAGTCACAGACTTTCTTGTGTGGGCTGGCTTTGAACTGTGATCCTCAGATCAGATCTCAGCCTCCTGAGTAGCTAGGATCATAGGCTTGAGCCACTGGCGCCCAATTGGGCAAGCCCTTTCTGTGCTCTGAGATCAGTGTTCTCTGTTGCAAAATGGGGGTGGAGGCCTGAGGGGGTCAGTTTCTAATATTTCTTTAGACTTTGAACTTGATAGGTCTAAATTCTCCATTTTCTACCCTGCCTCTCAACTCCTGGGAAGGCACTTCTTGTGTCTTGACTAAGAGTTAATAAGCCCCTGATTGTGACTTGGGAGAAAAATGTCTACACCATATGGAAGATGAAACAGATAAAACTCAGTACAGCTGGGTGCCAGTGGCTCACACCTGTAATCCTAGCAACTCAGGAGGTTGAGATCTGAGGATCTCGGTTTGAAGTCAGCCTGGGCAGAAAGTTCTGTGAGACTCTTACCTCAATTAACTAAGTGACACTGTGGCTCAAGTGGTAGAGTGCTATCCTTGAGCAAAAAGAGCTCAGGGACAACACCCAGGCACAGAGTTCAAGCCCCAGGCCCAGCAAAAAGAAAGGAAAAAAAAAAAGCATAGCAGCTGGGTGGAGGTCAGGGTGGGGTGCATGCTTAGCATTCTTGAAGTCTTATGCTTACTCCTCAGCATCAAAAATCAATCAAACAAAACAGTAAGTAAATGAGCCTGGATTTCACAGGCATGAGAGAAAATACTACCATAGATCATTATATGAGCCAGGCACCATGTTCAGCTGTACACATATTATAAACACATTTAACAGTAATATCAAGAGGTAGGACCACTTTTGTCATTATTAGCCCCCACTGTACGAATGAGCCACTGGAGGCTGCCCAAAGCCAGCAAGTGACTGAGCTGTTATTCAAACCCAGGCAATCCAGATCTTGCCCTCCAATCCCTGTGAGTAGACAGAGGTTCTCCCTTCTAATAGAAGAGCTTCCTTAGTAAATATAAATACAAATGCAATAGGGTTCTGCCTCCTCCTACCCTCCCCCCGCCCCCCACCTCCCCAAAGGTTCTGACTTACTCTGGGAAGGCTGGCAGCACATTGACGGACTCTTCTGTGGAAAGGCCTTGATATGAGGAGATGGGGTGAGAGTGTGGAGGATACACTGGGGACCTAGGAAAAGAACGTAGACCCTTTGATGCCAGTCCTTCCCCTTGGAAACTTCCACACCCTGCCATGGAAGGGAATTTCTTCCATGGAAAGGAAAATTCCCTGCTTCAGCTTGCCATACCAGCTCTCCCAGATGCCCATGCTGAAGACTTGTCTGCCCTGACCACTCTCCTCTGTATCTCAGGGGCTCCTTACCCCATCTCTGGGCCAAGTTGCATGCTTATGGAAGGATCAGGGGCCATTCCAAGATCATAGGAAGGTAGCATGGCAGGCATCTGGGGCTCTGGAGTAGGAAGGGGTTGGTCCCTGGAGGAGAGAAGAAGGTACATGTGACTGACAAAGAATTGAGGCCACCATTCATTTCTTTTTTTGGGGGGGGTCCAGTTGTGGGCCTTGAACTCTGGGCCTAGGCGCTGTCCCTCAGCTCTTCAGCTCAAGGCTAGCGCTCTACCACTTGAGCCACAGCGCCACTTCCGATTTTTTCCTTTTTGCTTATGTGGTGCTGAGGAATTGAACCCAGGGCCTTAGGCATGCAAGGCAAGCACTCTACCACTGAGCCACCTTCCCAGCCCGCCACCATTCATTTCTGCAGGTACCAGTCCCCAGCCCCACCCACCATCCATACCACCACACCCACCTTTCCACAGTCATTTTGATAGTAGCTGGGACATAACCTCGCCCATCCTTTCCCATCTGTTCGTCTGTGGTAGGAAGGAAAGAAGAACTGTGTAGCATTCCAGGATTAGAAAGGAAGAGAAATGGGACTGAGGAGTAGGATGTTGGGCAGGTAGAAGAAGTGGGGGATACAAAAAGGGAAGAGAAGTCAGGGAGATGGGAGGAAGGAAGAGCTGGGAGGAGGTGGGTGACAGGAAGGAATCAGCGCTCTAGCTCACGCTTGTAATGGCTCCCAAAAGCTTCATCCTTGGGTTTCTTGGGGTAGAGGTTTTTGAGCTGAGCAAGATCTCGAATTCTGTCCCCCAGGGAGCGAATGGATAAGTCTTTGGCGGAGAATGGCTGGATGTTCTCTATCTGTGAGGAGCCTACAACAGGAGTAAGAAGTTGGGTCTCCACTATCCAGACTTCCCCTTCCCCCAGTCCCACCCAGAAACCAATCTCAATCCATTCAAGCAAGGGTAAGACCTAGGGTGGAGGTCTTGAGAGAGGGCCCTCCACTAGTGTCCATTGCCATATCTGACTTCACAGTGAGTAGTAGACATTTAGACCACAGAGGAGGAAGATAAATTAAACTTTAAGAGGAACTTCCTGAAGATCAGGTTGGCATCAAGGAAGGTCAGGCCATTTCCTTCCCAGAAGAAACCCTAGAGAGCACAGATACAGAGGAAGAGGGCTGGCTGGGGTGACCTCACCATCCTGGCCCCGGATGACATGGGCAATAGTGATGCCCCCAATCTCTGAGTCACTGAAGCGGAGAAGGAAGGTTCCATCGGGTGCATTGAGGAGAAGGCTAGTGACATATTGTTTGCTGATGAAGCCAATGATCAGCCTGGCCAGGATGAAGAAGAAGGGAGTGTGGGTACCAAGGGTGGAGATGGAGCTCCAGGTACAGCTGCTTAGACCACCAAAGGACACAGACTTACCTGTCTGACCAGTAGCTCTTAAGACAGCGTTTAGTAAGGTCCAGGACTCCATCAAACCACTGCCAAAAGGTAAAGCCTCGACCCAGCAAGATCTCCTAAGGGATGGAGGGGAGCAAGGGTAAGTCAGGAAAGGACTAAGCTGAAGTTTGATTGGTAAGCACAAGGGCTGTGAGGGTCCACACGACAGCCAAGGACTAAAGGACCAAACTGTACCTGTGGCCCACTAATGACAATGGGTAACACTCACGCTTAACCATATACTGGACACCATTCCAACCTTTCCATCTATCTGTCTGTCTCTCTCTCTATCTGTCTGTCTGTCTGTCTGTCTACCTACCTACCTACCTGCCTATCTATCTGGAAGTACTGGGGTCTAAACTCAGGGCCTCATGCTTGCTCATCTTGCATGCTCCCTTGGCATTCTACTACTTGAGCCACATTTCCAGCTCAGCTCTTTTGCTGGTTATTTTGGGAGGAAATGACATTTCAGACTTTTCTGCCCAGGGTGGTCACAAACTATGATCCTCCAGATCTTTGCTTCCTGAGTAGCTAGGATCACAACTCCAAGTATTACTTTACTTGATTCTTTGCAAGACTATGGAGAGAGGTATTATAACAACCATAGGAGCACAGAAAAGCCAAATGACTGGCCTAGGATCACATAGCTGGTGAGAGGCAGAATGAGATTTAAGCTGAAGTCCCTCATAAAAATTGTGCTAAACTTAATCCCTAGGCAGAGATGTATTCTAGGAGAAGATAATTGCTAGTTATATTCTACGGTCATGTGGTTCTCGTGTGTGTGTGTGTGTGTGTGTGTGTGTGTGTGTGTGTGTGTGTTTCTCCCCATGTGCCCGTCCCCCGCCCCCCCCCGCCCCCATCTATTTTTTTGTGCCAGTCCTGGGGCTTTAACTCAGGACCTGGGCACTGTCCCAGAGCTTCTTTTGCTCAAGGATAGTGTCCCACCACTTCAGCCACAGTGCCACTTCTGGCTTTTTGGGTAGTTAATTGGAGATAGCCTCATGGACTTTCCTGCTGGCTTCAAACTGCAATCCTCAGATCTCAGCCTCCTGAGTAGCTAGGATTATAGGTATGAGCCACAGGCTCCCTTTGTTGTTGTTGTTGTTTTAAAGAGCACAATATGTAGCTGTATTTACCCATATGTCCTGTCAAACAGGACATGAGATCTCTTTCTTCCAAAATGCAGTAATCAAGAGCAAGATTCAGAGGCTGGGCATAAGAGATCATATCTATAATCCCAGCTACTCAGGAGGTAGAGATTTGGTGGATCAAGGTTTGATGCCAACCCAAGCAAAATGATAGTGACACCTCATCTCCACAAACAATCTGGGCATAGTGTTAGCCCTTTGTAATTCAAGCTTCTAAGAGGTAGAGGTAGGAAAATCATGGATGGTCCAGGCAGGCCCAGTTGAAAAGCAAAAGACCCTACCTGAAAAATAACTAGAACAGAAAGGACAGGAGGCAAGTGGTAGAGGCTAAAGTGTGAGAACCTGAGTTTAGTTTTTTGTTTTTTTTTTGGTCCGGTCGTGGGGCCTGAACTCTGGGCCTGGGCGCTGTCCCTCAGCTCTTCAGCTCAAGGCTAGCGCTCTACCACTTGAGCCACAGCACCACTTCCGGCTTTTTTCTTTTTGCTTATGTGGTGCTGAGGAATCGAACTCAGGGCCTCATTCATGCAAGGCAAGGGCTCTACCACTGAGCCACCTTCCCAGCCCTAGTTTTTGTTTTTAAAGTCAGGAATAGGGGATTTGGCTGGTCATTGTAACACACGCCTGTTACACCAGCTACAGAGGACTTGGAGATAGAAAGATCCTGGGTCTGAGGCTGGCTCAGGCAAATAGGTCTGGGGATATGGCTCAGTGCCTAGGGAAGTGAGAAGCCCTGGATTCAAATGTCAGTATAGCCAGAAAAAAAAAAAAAAGACAGAAAAGGAATATGGAGTTCTATTTTACTTCTGCCATTTACCTACAGTAAGACTTGGAACAAACTACATACTCCCTGTAAGCATAGGTAAAATGGGGATAAAATTAGTATCCAGCCAGGTACTACTCAGACTCATGCCTGTAATCCTAGCTACAGGAGGCTGAGATCCGAGGGTCATGGTTCAAAGCCAGCCCTGGTAGGAAAGTCCATGAGACTCTCATCTCCAATTAACCACCAGAAAATTGGAATTGGTGCTGTGGCACAAAGTGGTAGAGTGCTAGCCTGGAGTCAGAAAGCTCAGAGACAGTACCCGGGTCCTGAGTTCAAACCCCACAACCAACCAACCAACAAAAAAAAGTAGTACCCATCTCACTTCAAAGGGATATTGAAAGGATTCTATGAGATAACATACAAAAGTGTGGAGCAGGGCTGGGAAGGTGGCTCAGTGGTAGAGCCCTTGCCTTGCATGCATGAGGCCCTGGGTTCGATTCCTCAGCACCACATAAGCAGAAAAAGCTGGAAGTTGTGCTATGGTTCAAGTGGTGGCCTTAAGCTTGCAGAGCTGAGGGACAGCACCCAGGCACAGAGTTCAGGCCCCATGACTGGACCCCCCCTCAAAAAAAAAAAGTGTGGAGCAGTGCCTAGCATATACAGGAAACTGCCACAATATGGCAACTGTATTACTGCTCGTGTCCTTCTGCAATTTCATCCAGATTTTGCAATAGGAACTTATTTTCCTAATGGGTCAAAGTCATTTAATCAGAGCTCTATTTGCTCACAATCTGAGCAAATCATGCAAGTCATCATTAAAGAGGAAGGACAGAGATTCCCTAGACCAAAACCTGAAATTAAAGAGGACCAGTTGCTGAGCACCAGTGCCTCACACCTGTAATTGTAGCTACTCAGGAGGTTAGATTTGAGGATCGTGGTTCAAAGCCAGCCTGGACAGGAAAGCCGTGAGACTCTTATCTCTAATAAACCACCAGAAAACCAGAAGTGGCTCAAGTGGTAGAGTGCTAGCCTTGAGCTGAAGAGCTGAGGGACAATGCCCAGGCCTAGAGTTCAAGCCCCATGACCAACAAAACAAACAAAAACAAAGAGGGCAAGCTATGGAGTGATCTCCAGAGAGGAGAAGTATTCTGCTAGGCACTCCTGATGGACACGAGGGGTACTGGGAAAACCCTGGGATCTGTCCCTGATCTCTGTGGATGAAGAAGCTCAGAGATGGGAGGTCCAAAGAGCAGGAGAATGACCTTGTTGAATTGTGACCAGGACACAGACCGGTGCTGGAAGGCCTCCATGTTAAGGCTGTTGTCATTGAAGATTTTCTGGGCCAGGAAGAGGAAGTGCTCTGGCAGCAGTCCTCGGTTTGTCCCCACCTCAGCCATGAACTTGAGGTTCAGAGTTTCACACATCTTTTCCCAGGGTACCCGCTCAGCCACCACAAAGGGAACACGGTCCTAGGGAGGGGAACAGGAAGGGAAAGAAGGGCCTCATTGCCAATCTTCCTCTGGTAGCTTTCGTTCTTCCCACCTCCCAGACCTGCCTCTCCTGGCAGAGTCCCCAGAGCTGGCTCACAAAACATGATACTTTCTCACAATATCAGTTTCTGGTGCCACAGCAGAGACCACAATGAAAAGAAGTTAGAAGTACAAAAGTAGACCCAGGAGAAGGAGTTAAAAGTCACACACATTTGAATGTTCCTGTCACCCACCAGCTGGCACCCTGACCCCTTGTTCTGGAATTCATCCTGTCTCTGCCCCTTACCCTCGGTATTTATTTGCTCACCATCTCAGAGAAGGCATTATCCCAAAGGATGGTGGCTTTGGCATTGTTGTCCTGGTTCCCGTGGACGATGACCACCAAGGGTAGAGACAGGGCCTTAAAGGGATGAGAAGAGGCATTTAGTGTGTGTGTGTGTGTGTGTGTGTGTGTGTGTGTGTGTGTGTGTGTGTGTGTGTGTGTGTGTGTCCTGGGCCTTGAACTCAGGGCCTGGGTATTGTCCCTGAGCTTTTCCTTTTTTGGGGGGGGCGGGGTCTGGTGGGCTGGTCGTAGGGCCTGAACTCTGGGCCTGGGCGCTGTCCCTCAGCTCTTCAGCTCAAGGCTAGCGCTCTACCACTTGAGCCACAGCGCCACTTCCGGCTTTTTTTTTCTGCTTATGTGGTGCTGAGGAATCAAACCCAGGACCTCAAGCATGCAAGGCAAGCGCTCTACCACTGAGCTACCTTCCCAGCCCCCTGAGCTTTTTCTTTTCTTTTTTTTGGTTCAGGACTAGCACTCTACCACTTGAGCCACAGCTCACTCCAGGCTTTTAGTAGTTAGAAACAAGAGTTTCATGAACTTTTTTTTTTGTCGGTCATGGGCTTGAACTCTGGGCCTGAGTGCTGTCCCTCAGCTCCTCAGCTCAAGGCTAGGGCACTACCACTTGAGCTACAGAGCCACTTCCAGTTTTCTGGTGGTTTAGTGGAGATGAGTTTCACGGACTTTCCTGCCTAGGCTGGCTTTGAACCTCGATCTTAAGATCAGCCTCCTGAGTAGCTAGGATTATAAGTGTGAGTCACCAGCACCTGGCTTTCATGGACTTTTGTTCCTAGCTTTGAACCTCAACCCTTGGATATCAGCCTCGTGAGCAGCTAGGATTGCAGGCATGAGCCACCAGTGCCTGGTGAGTCATTTCTCCTTATCAGAGCCAGAGAGATCCTCAAGAGCTGGCTCTAAGCATGCAGGGGAGTCATGGGCTCACGGGACATAGGTAAAGAGCATGTTGCTAAATGCATTCTGAAGCTTAGTGAGGCCTCACTGTACAAAGTGACTATTACAAGTCAATGCTACAGGGCCAGCCTTAATGTCGCATAGCCACATGACCTGGGAACACTAGAGGATCTCTGTCACAACGTCCTTATCTGGAAAATGAGGCTAGTGAACAGTACCTGTTTTATAATGCCATGAAAACCAGGTGTGTATGTATTGCTTAAAACAGTGCCCTCATCTATAGGTGTGTGTGTGTGTGTGTGTGTGTGTAACTTCAAACAGCTCCTTGAGATGGAGGCATGACTCAGCAGTAGAGCACCTGATTAGCAGGCACAAGGTCCTGAGTTCAACTCTCAGTACTGCCAAACAGTGCCCCGTTGTATAGAATATGTTTGATTTGGTAAGAATTGGTTACTAGGTTAGGGGTGTGGTTAGCAAGCTCAGGGTCCTGAGTACCAACTCCAGTAACTCACAGGCTCGTATCTGTAACCCTAGCTACTTAGGAGACTAAGTTCTGAGGATTAATGTTTGAAGCCAGCCTAGGCAAGAAAGTCCATAAGACCCTTATCTCTAACCATCAAACAGCCAGAAGTTGAGCTATGGCTCAAGTAGTAAAGCACCAGTCTTGAGTTAAAAAGCTAAGGGACCCAGGCCCTGAGTTTAAGCCCCAGTCCTGGTGCACGCACATGCGCGTGTGTGCGCGCGCACACACACACACACACACACACACACACACACTAGTGCTCATTACTACTCCCTGGGTGTGACCCTATGGTCTTGCTTCTCCCCACTCACCTTGCCCCAATGTGCATAAATCCTAAACACATGAGGAACAAGGCAATGAGGATCCAGGGTTCCAGTGCATGGAGGCCATGGGTCCCAGACTGTTAGTGGGGCTGAGGCCATGGCTCACCTGGAGCTGGATGGGGAGTTTGTTGGGGCCCAACAGGAAGTTGGTGGAAAAGAGCACAGCACACTTCTCCTCTGTGACAGACTCAGTACCCTTCCGCTCACACCGCTTGATTTTCTTCAGGAGCTGAGGGGAGCCAGGGTAAAAGAGAACAGGGGTGAGGACAAGAGAACAAAAAATCAAAGCTGGGTACTGGTGGCCCATGCCTGTAATATTAGCTACTGAAGAGGTTGAGATCTGAGATTCATGGTTCAAAGCCAGCCCAGGCAGGAAAGTCCAGGAGACTCTTATCTCCAGTTAATGACCAAAAAGCCAGAAGTAGAGCAGTAAACTGGTACGGTAAAGCACCAGTTTGGGGTGAAAAAATTAAGGGACAGCACCTAGGTCTTGAGTTCAAGCCCCAGTATCAACACAACACACACACAACACACACACACACACACACATATATTTGAAGAGGGAGGAGAGAGGGAGAGAGAGAAAGAGAAAGAGAGAGAGAGAGAACAGAAATCGGATGGCTCCTCTTGGCCTCCCAACATCTCCAAGGAGGGTCCCACAGTCAGGGTCTGGCATACTCTCTCCCCACCCGCACCCTGCAGCCCCTCACCAGATTCTTGAACAGGGCAGAGCAGCAGTTCCCAGGAATGCTGTTCTCCAAGGGCACTGTGTTGTTCATGATCTCCCCAGTGCTTTCTCTGCCAGGAGGGTCAGAGTGTGAACAGCTCAGCACAACCCCGCCATATGTTGACTACCCACTGTCGCTGGCCCTAGAGCTCTAGGTCCCTGCTTCAGCTCTCCCTCGTTCCCTCCCCCCTTCCCTCCCTTCCTCCCTCCCTCTCTTCTTCCTTTCCCTCCTGTTCCCTCCTTCCCTCCTTTGCTCCTCCCTCCCTTTCCCTCCCTCCCTCTCTTCTGCCCTCTCTCCCTCTTTTGCTCCCTCTCTCCCTCCTTTACTTCCTCCCTCCTTGCCCTTCCTTTCTCTTCTCTTTTTCTTGGAAATCAAACTCAGGGGCTTGTGCATGCCAAGCCCACAGTCCATCACTGGCCTATACCCCCAGCCCCCTACTTGAGTTCCTTGTGGAAGAATCCTCATCCTAGCCAAATTCTGCTGTCTCCCCCTATTCTAGACCAAATGAGGCTCTTCTCTTCCTCTGCCATGACCATTCAGGATCTCTGCAGACCAGGAGCCCTCTTTCCCATGTCCTTGTGGTGCCAGTACCTCAGTTCCTCTTGCCTCTTTCACCCCAATCCTGGGTCCAGCCCCAGCTTACGTTCCAGCCCCAGGCCCTTGGGCTAGGCTCAGCTCCCTCGCCTGCTTCTCTGTCACCACATCAGCCCTGACTGGAGGAGGCTTGGCTGAGGTCCCTAGGAACCGCAGGCCCAGCAGGAATCGAACTCCAGCCTGGAACTTGGTTTGAGTCTTCAGAACCTGAGGAGGCTGCTTCTCCACCAGGAAAGAGCTAAGGGGAATGAGAAGGATATTGGGGGTGGGGGGAGGTGGTACTTAGGGTCTGAGTCCCCTCCTGGTGGCTTCCCCATAACTCTTTTCTCCTCAGGGTCTGCCCAAGGCCAGGCAGGGGGCTCATGGGGCCTACCTGGTCACCAGGGTTCTCAGGACTTCATCCAACCGGCTAATCAGCGATTCCCTGGTGTTGGGCTCTAGCTCCCTACTGGCTGCTCCTACCTCCTGATGTAGCTGAGAATAAATGTCCACCAGGCTCTCACACCTGGGGCCAAGACAGTGGTTAGGGGACATGCTCCAGCCCAGACCTCCCTCCCCTAACCAAGCCAGAAAGCAAGATATTGATGGAAGGGGATATATCTGCAGGAACTGCTTCTGGGACCTGCCTTTGCTCTTAGGAAGCAGTTCATTCTCAGTGCCTAAACTCCAAGTGGAAACCCAGTTGCCTCTTCCCCTGGGATCTAGTACCCAGAAAGATACCAGCATTGGTAATACTTTAGGGCAAATTGGAAAGTGCCCAAGCCCAACAGACTAAATAGAAAAGGGTTGCCAGGTGGGCCCAATAGCTCAAGCCTATAATCCCAGCTACTCAGGAGACAGAGATGGGAAGGATCTTAGCTCCAGGCTATCCTGGGCAAAAAAAAAAAAAAGAAAGTTTGAGAAAAAGCTGGGTGCCAGTGGCTTTTGCTTGTAATGCTAACTATTGAGGAAGCCTAGCTAATGGACCATTGTGTTTTGAAGCTAGCTTGCAGAAAAATCCATGATGAGATTCCCACTTGCAGAGGGCACAATGTCAGACTGGAGGGGTGGCTCACGTGGTAGTGTACCAGCAGCACTCAGCAAAAAGCTGAGTGAGAGAGCACAAGGCCCCGAGTTTAAGCCCTGGTACTAGCACAAAACATAAATAAATAAAAGTTTGAGAGACCTCCATTTTAACAGAAAAGGCCAGGTATGATCATGCACTGGCCATCGCAGGATGTTTGAGCAGGAGATGGAGCAAGACCAGGCATAAGCAACACCCTCCCTGGAAAATAACCAAAGCAAAAACTCTGATGGTATAGATCAAGCCACAGAGTGCTTCCTTAGCAAGGACAAAACTGGAATTCAAATTCCAGTACCAAACAAAAAAAACAACGTTCCCGGGGCTGGGAAGGTGGCTCAGTGGTAGAGCGCATGCCTTGCATGCCAGAGGCCCTGGGTTCGATTCCTCAGCACCACATACGCAAAAAGAAAAAAGCCAGAAGTGGCGCTGTGGCTCAAGTGGTAGAGCGCTAGTCTTGAGCTGAAGAGCTGAAGGACAGCACCCAGGCCCAGAGTTCAGGCCCCATGACCAGACCCAAAAAAACAAACAAACAAAAAACAATGTTCCCTAGTCTTCTGGGTATAGAGAGAAAAGGAGAAACTTAAATATGATCCCTCAATTGAGTACAGTTGTACAGGATGCAACCTAAACAACTGTGCAGGCCTCCTGAAGCTAACTTCCCAGAGTCTTGGCCCTCTAAACCTCCTACCTGGCTTTCTCTTACAGCATGAAAGCAGGTGCCCACCCCAGCCAGTCCCCTTTCCCTGTTAGCCTTGCCCTAACCTCTGCTGTAGCCCAGCCAGGCTCTCTTCAAAGGGCGCACCATTCCCTGCCAGCTGCTGCTGCCGTTTCCAAATCTGGATCCTCTTTAGCACCAGGCCTTGGACCACCTCCAGCTCCGCCACAGTCTCCTGCAGCAGTGTGGCCAGGTCCTAAGGGAGGGAAGGGGTCTGAACCAGGGACACACACAGCCTCTTCTCCCAAGTCCTGAGGTCAGGGCCTCCTTTCTTACCATCCTGCCATTCTTACCGCGCCCCCCCCACCCAACCCCAATCTGTGTCTGTCTGTGTCACCTCTAATCCTTCCAGTTGCACTTTGAGCCCAATTTCCTCCGCCTTTCAGGCTGTTTCTCACCTCACTTGGCCCAGTCCCATTGGAAGAAGTTTTTATCAAGCTGTGAAGAGACACTGAAGAGGGGGCAGGGAGGGAGGGGAGGACAGGAATCAAGGATACAGAGAATGGAGATTCAGTCAAAGCTGAGATCCAAGAAGGGACCACTCCCACACACTGCCCAGACTGGTCTTAGGGCCCCAGGGCTTGTGCCTCACCTTGGCCAGCCTCAGTTCCCTGATGCAGGGCTTCTCGGAGAAGGCGGGTCTCCCCAACCCGGTGTTTTAGCCTCTGCAGAGCTGTGTTAAACTTGAGTTCTTCCTGCTTCCAGTGGAAGGTCATTGGCAGGTGGTGGAACTGCATAGGACAGACAAACACAAATGGGTGAGTCTCTGCTCACCTTCCTCCATGACAACCCCCTCCCCCCACCTTTGGCAGTTCCTCCAGCCTTTGGAATACCCTGGGGATAAATTCTTGCTCCTGGCAGGCAGGCACTGGTGGCTCCTGCCTATAGTACTAGCTACTCAGAAGGCTGAGATGTGAAGACTGAGATTCCAAGCCAGCCCAGGCAGGAAAGTTTGTGAGACTCTTCTCTCCAATTAACCATCAAAAGGCAGAAATAGAGCTGTGGCTCAAATGGTAGAATGCTAGCATCAAACCAAAAAGCACCCCAGGTCCTGAGTTCAATCCCTTCCTCCCCCCCCCAGGCCCCCACCCAGCACACACACATACACATACACACACACACACCCCAAAATAAAACAATAAACCATCTCCTTACAATCCTGTTCTGTCCTCCCTTAGACCTTTATTCGAAGCTTCCTTTGAACTTGGCTTGAGTTTCAGTTTGACTGGACTGTCTTTTGGGTCTAGAATCTTGAGCCTTTCCAGAATATCAACTTCTTCCTAGTTTCTAATGACTCAGGCTAAAGTCCCAGAAAGCCGAATCAAGGTGGGAAGTGGGTTGTCATAATACCTGTTGGATAACAGCTTTTTTCTCCCCTTGAAGTATTTGTCTGAAAGTGGCCACCAGCTTCAGGGGATCCCTCTGATATATGCTCTACAGAAGTGTGGGGGGGGGGAGACCGTTAGCTCTTGCTCATGTCCTCCTGCTCCAGTTTCAAGACTCCCATTCATGCATTCACAGAAAGGTAACACAGCTGTAGATTCCAGAAGTTTCATGCATTTGCATGCCTTTAAAATCAAATTTGCATGCTAGCTAGCAGCTCACCACAGGAATACCATTTTGCTTACAACATCCTCCATCATCCAACCAATTTTCCTCCAGTGCTCATCCAGCTCTGCCTCAGCCCCACCCCAAACTTGTCCCTTTCCCTTCTGCTCGACCTCCAGGGTACTGATGTGTGGCAAGATGGCATTCCCCTCTCCTTGCTCTCCTGCAGAGGCCTGAAGATGTTGAACAGTGGCTGAAAGTAGCATGCTAGCCATTTTGCAGCAGAAGTCATCCAAGCCAACCAGGAACTCCCTATGGGAACATCAGAATGAGGCTGTATAAGACCAGCTCCTAACCATCCATCCACAGCCTACCACTCAATTTTTCCTCTCCTAATTCTCCATGGCCATTCTCTGCACACTATCCTGCCCCCTTGCTTCTCAGTCTTCTGCTGTTAGGAGAAGTGCCTCTGCTCCAGCCCTGACCTCCTTCCTCTTTAGCTAAGCCTCTTAAGCAGTGAGGTGTTCACATGTCAACGCATATAGTCTTAATTTGGTGGTTACACATTATACTCACATAGAATAACCAGTGCCAGAAGAGACTAAAGAGAGGGAGGCGCTGGGCCCTAATGGCTCATGCCTATAATCATAGGTACTCAGGCAGATCTCAATTCTGAGATCTGAAGATCATGGTGCAAAGCTAGCCTCAGGAAAGTCCATGAGACTCTTTTTTTTTTTTGGTCATAGGGCTTGAACTCAGGGCCTGGATACTGTCCCTCAGCTCTTTAGCTCAAGGCTAGAGCCCTACCACTTGAGCCACAGCGCCACTTCCGGCTTTTTCTATTTATGTGGTACTGAGGAATCGAACCGAGGGCTTCATGGATGTGAGGCAAGCACTCTACCACTGAGCCACCTTCCCAGCCCCTCTTAGCGCTCTACCACAGCGCTACTTCTGGTTTTCTGGTGGTTTATTGGAGATAAGATTTTTATGGACTTTCCTGCCTGGGCTGGCTTTGAACCTGGATCCTCAGATCTCAGCCTCCTGGGTAGCTAGGATTACAAGCATGAGCGCCTGGCTCCCATGAGACTCTTATCTCCAATGAATCACCAAAGAACCAGAGGTGGAGCTGTGGCTCAAGTGGTAGAGTGTTAGCCTTGAGCACAAAAGCTCAGGGACAATATCTAGGCCCTGAGTTCAAGCTCCAGGACTGATACTTTAAAAAAAAAAAAAAAAAAAAACAGAAAAGAGGGAGGCTGCATGAGAGAGGAGGACATGGGGTGGAAGGACTCACCAGGGCTGGTTTTCCAGCCAGTCACTCAGGAGATGCCGCAGGTGTTGGGGAAAGTCAACATAGAGATGCTGTAGTTTTTCTGGGGGCACTTTGGAGACCAGATCCCACAGAGACATGATCTGTGGTTTGGAGGGTGCCTAGAAGAGAAGAAAAGACGGGGCTGGGAAGGTGGCTCAGTGGTAGAGCACTTGCTTTGCATGCCTGAAGCCCTGGGTTCGATTCCTCAACACCACATAAGCAAAAAGAAAAAAGCTGGAAGTGGAGCTGTGGCTCAAGTGGTAGAGTGCTAGCCTTGAGCTGAAGAGCTGAGGGACAGCGCCCAGGCCCAGAGTTCAGGCCCTACAACCGAACCTCCTCCCCCCCCCCCAAAAAAAAAAAAAGAGAAGAAAAGAACAAGGATACTCCAAAAGATGCCCAAGAAACTAGACCTACCTTCTGTGGCAGCCCTGGACTTCCTGTAGCCAGGCCTTCTAGAGCCTGTCCTCATTGCCACTTGTGGCCAGGACACCTCAAACAGGCACCCTCAGTCAAGTTTGAGACAAGCAACAATGCCAATGGTAGACTTATGTTTTTTTGTCAGTATTTGCCATTAAATATTTTCAGAGTGTGGTTTACTGGGGTAACTGAAAGCATGGAAAGCAAAACCATGGGTGAGGAGGAATCACTCAACACAAAAGGGTGTAAAACTGGAGTTGTTCTGTTAAAGACAAATGGAGATGGTTAGAACTCCACGGTCTTCCCTCTCTACCTCCTGATCCTACAGATGTCCCTGAAACCTCTCAGAATTCTAAAGCTCCACGAAATTTGAAAACCAGGCTATGGATGAGGATGTAGCTCAATGGTAAAGCACTTGTGTAGATTTTGTAAGGCCTCTGGGTTACATTGAGAGAGAGAGAGAGAGAGGAAAGAGAGAGAAAAGAGAGAGCAGGAAAGAAAGGAAGGAAGGAAGGAAGGAAGGAAGGAAGCAAGGAAGGAAGGAAGGGAGGAAGGAAGGAAGGAAAGGGAAGGGAAGGGAAAGGAAGGGAAGAGAGGAGAGAATATAAATAATAGTAATAATAATTTAAACAATATAGTTCTTCTTCATAGATGGAAAAACAGGCTAAAAAGGTTTTATGTGTTGCCCAGAGCTCCTAGGTAAGTGAGATGGAAATCAGGCTCTGAATCAGAGTGGTAATCAACCACTGCTGTTAAGATTCCTTCTAGCTCCAAATCATATCACTCCCAAAAGAGCGGGAGAGTGTGAGGCGATGAAGCAAAGGGAAAATAGAGAGTGGAAGGAAGAAGGTGATACTAGAGAAAAAATGGGGTTAGTCAGTCCGGAGTGAGGAGCCTAGAAGAGGAGGAAAGGATGTTAAAGGGCTAGAAGGCCAATGAGAGAGGGTAAGGGGTCATAAAGAGAGTAGGGGAGTAAGTGCTCCCCTTCTCCCCAGAAGCTCCTGGATAGACCAGTGGTTTTCCAGGGGTCTCTCAGTTCATGTTTCTCATAAAGTCCCTCTCCCAGAGAGAAGGGGAAAGGAAGGAATTGGAAACTCCCGGGGTCTCCCCTAATCCAGGAACCCCCCCTAGTCCTCTTATTCTTCCAGCCTCTCAACTTTCCCAAGGCTCCCAAAGGGATGGAAGAGGCCTCTCCACTGGATATTCCCAGTGGCATTCCCTGAGCTTTTTCTCCCAAAGGCAGAAGCCTTCCCTCTTGCTGTTTAGGGTCCTCCAGCAGGCCTTTCTGCAGCCATTCTCCTCAGGGTTAACATCTTCTGATCTAGTTTCTCCATTTTTCTCTTCTTTCTCCCCAGTCTCTGGATGCTCAGATTCCAGACCCATCATCCTGCTCTCTACCCACCCTACTGGAAAGAGTAGGTGAGAACCTACTACTATTGGTGAAAACCCCAATGATAGACAGCTTCCATTAAAAAAAATATATCCACTTGGTCTAGAGTGAGTATTTTTTCAAGTGGATATGAAAAATTAAAAATTATTGCTGGGCACCGGTGGCCTATGCCTGTAGTCCTAGCTACTCGGGAGGCTGAGATCTAAGGATCATGTTTCAAAGCCAGCAGGGGCAGGAAAGTCCATGAGACTCTTATTTCCAGTTAACCACAAGAAAACCAGAAGTGGAGCTATGGCCCAAAGTGGTAGAGCACTATCCTTGAGCAAAAAGAGCTCAGAGATCATGCCCAGGCCCTGAATTCAACCCCCCTCCCCCACCAAAAATAATAATAAAAATAATTATTATCTTTAGTTGTGCAAAGGGGTTTCAATGCAACGAATCAGTTTATAAGTACAATGCATTTTAGTCATCATTCTCCCCCATCTTTTCCAACCCCTCCCATCCCCTCAAGTTACATGGCTCCATTTTCATATATGTACATTGAATATAATGACTATATTTACCTTCTTGTCTCTCCCCTTAACCCTCTTCCCACAAAACATATTTCAGCCTCCTGGGATTCATTTGTTAAACTATTCATTAGTTGTTCAGAGGAACTACATACCATCCTCCGGGGGAGTATTTTATTTCATTTTGGAGATAAGTTCTCTTTATATAACCCAAGCTGGCCTTGAACACTCAGTCCTCTTGCCTTAATCTTCCTAGTGAGTGGGATTACAGGTTTATACTATCTTGTTGAGTGATCATCCTCCTGGCATGACCTGGCTTCAAATTTCCACCACTCTTCTCTCTCTATACATATACACATCAGGAGATCAAGTTTGCCCCCAACCCCAATTCAAAACAAGGGCCGGGTGGATTGGTCTGTGCAGGACCTGCCATCCATTCCTGGCAGAGAGGGAGGAACTAGAGTACAAAGGGGCGGGACCAGAGTTCCCTTTCAGACCCTGGTGTGTGTGTGGTGGTACCAGGGAGCCTGAAGTTCAAGATCCTCATCTACCAGCTTGGTGACCTAAACCCCATCACCTCCACCCTTATATTCCCAAGTCCTCTGACCCTAGAGTCAAAAGGGTTTCTAGGAGTTGCCCAATGGGTGTTTGTGGCAGTGGCAATGGTGGTGGAGGCGGGGAAGGGAGCCCAGGAGGTGGAGCCAGGTCAGCACAAGGAGGGTTAACCCCATGCTTCCCGCCTGCCTGCCAGGAAATCTCAGTGTTTCTAGCAGCCAAGCGTGGTGCAGTTTTGAGGGGGGGAAATCCCCCCTCCTCCAGGACACCATGAGGTCTACATCTGGGGCTCGCTCACCCTCCAATCTTTAGCAGGGACCACTCTTAGGTTTGGACAAGCCCGTAGCCCCCCCTGGTATCAACCTTTAGGGAGGGGCAGCCATCCAGTGGGGACCACCCGGAGGACTGAGAGTCCTCTTTTCTCTGACTTTCTATTCCCCCCCCCCCCCCACACACACATGCAGGGTTAAGGGCCAAGGGTATGGGGGTAGGTGACCAAAGAGGGAGGGAAGTATAGGAACTTATACTCTACCCCACATTCCTGAGAATACTCAGAAAGTGACAAAACCCAGTGTCACCAACTACCAACACTAGCTGAAACCATTTCTAGGGGGCCCATCTGCCCCGCCCAGGGGAGGATCCCTGACAGACCCTGCGAATCCATCCATCCCCCACACTAACAGTCAGAGACCCCCCACCTTCCCTTCCTCACAAGCATCCCCTCACCTGGCACACCCCTCTGCCGTCTTCTCCCTCTCTCAGCAGGCACTGCCAGGCCCCATGGATCTGTAGCTCTGTCCAGCAAGTTCAGGGCTGGCCCTGCTATCAGAACCCCTCCACCATCACCACCACCAAAATGAAAAACAACACACGTTCTCTCTCCTCTCTCTCCTCTCTCTCTCCTCTCTCTCTCTCTCTCTCTCTCTCTCTCTCTCTCTCTCTCTCTCTCACACACACACACACACACACACACACTTCTCTTCTGGGCCTTCCTCTTCATGCAAGCCCTAGCTGCCCAGCCTGCTGTTTCCGGCTTCTCTGTCTACCCAGGTCCCTCCCTGGAGTGCTGACGACACAGAAGAGAAAGTGGGCTGGAGGAGGAAGAGGAAGAAAGTGGGGTGAACATGTGTGCCTGCTCTGCTGGGTGGGGAAGCACGTCGTGCAGAGGGCAGGGCCAGGGGCTGGCTCCCCACCCTACAACCAGGCTGGAACCCTGACTAATCCTATTCTCCTCAAAAGCCATCCACTTTTCTCCCGAAAGTAATCACACAGAAAGCTTCCGCCCCAAATTGCCCTGTTCCCACATTCAAACTTTTTCAGGGCTTGAGTCTGGGGGCCACCAGGGACTGGGCTGCCTAGGGACTTTGGAAAAAGCAAATCCTACTGGGCTTTGTGCTCCACCCAGTGGAGGACCCCGAAAAGCATCCGGGAAGCTGGAGGTTTGTCTGGAACTCTTAGGTTTGCCTTCCTGCCGAGGGTAACGCCTTAGAGGTCTCGTGACACCAGTGGGGGGGGGGGGAGGAGAAGAGGAACCCTCAATTCAGTTCTGGAAGGCTCCAGGAGTCTCGCAGACCCAGCTGCTGGCAGCTCCTGGCAAGATACCACTGCACAGAGCTGATTGGTCCTCAGCAAGCAGTCCTAGTGCTGCCTGTAGATTCCCAAGGGACAAGTTTGAATAAGAATCTGCTGTGTAGCCTCGGCCAAGTTCCTATCTATTTCTGGAGTAAACAGTGAGACACACCCAGAAACAAACACGATATGTACAACTTCCCGAGTCATAACACTACACACACACACACACACACACACACACACACACACATACACACATGCAGGCAGGCTCACATACATATCAGAGCCATTTGTAATTACAACGCCACACAGTGAAGGCATGCAAGTTTGCATGCACGCACCAGAGCGTGTGTGTGTGTGTGTGTGTGTGTGTGTGTGTGCAAACACAAAACACACAAGACATGCTTCGTTTCTAAGCCATCATCGTTAGCTGGTGGATTTTTTTTTCTGAAGTTTTTGCTGGTAAAGGCTCTGGAGGTGAACAAGGTAATTGGGGAACCTTTTGAGCCTCCCAACTTGATAGCCAAGTGGTGTGTGGAAAGGGCAGGGTCTGGGGACAAGGGTGGATTAGGAGTTTTCTGTTCTCTCTTCAGGGCTGAGATGAAGGGCCAAAGCTAGTCCTATGCTGCCTCCTGCTGTCTGAATTGATCTTCTTCCATTTACAAGAACTATAGTGTCTGTATGAGACAAACAGCCAAGGGTAGGAGTTAAGCAGAGTATAGCAGTAAAGAGCTGGACTCTGGAAACGAGCTGTTTCAATTCAAATCTTACCAACACAGCTAATGGGACAACCCTGTGAAACTTACTTTTTTTTGGTCAGTCGTGAGGCTTGAACTCAGGGCCTGGGTGCTGTCTCTGAACTCCTTTGCTCAAGACTACTGCTCTACTATGAGCTACAGCGCCACTTCTGGTTTTCTGGTGGTTAATTGGAAATAAGAGTCTCTTGGACTTTACGTCCCCAGCCTGGCTTTGAACCTCTATCCTCAGATCTCAGCCTCCTGAATAGCTAGGATTACAGGAGTGAGCCACCAGCACCTGGCAGAAGTTTACTCTGTCATTCAGTTTTATCTTCTGTAAATGGAGCAAATAAGAATCTTAACTGGGGGGCTAGGAAGGTGGCTCAGTGGTAGAGCGCTTGCCTTGCATGCATGAGGCCGAGTTCGATTCCTCAGCACCACATAAGCAAAAAGAAAAAAGCCAGAAGTGGGGCTGTGGCTCAAATGGTAGAGCGCTAGCCTTGAGCTGAAGAGATGAGGGACAGCGCCCAGGCCCAGAGTTCAGGCCCCACGATCAGACCCCCCCCCAAAAAAATCTTAACTGGAAGGTTATAAGAGTGTCATGTGAAGCTGGGCAAGGGTGGCTCATGCCTATAATCCTAGCTACTCAGGAGGCTGAGATCTGAGGATAACAGTTCAAAGCCAACCTGAGAAGAAAAGTCTGTGAGACTCTTATCTCCAATAGACCACCAGAAACCTGGAAGTGGCGCTGTGGCTCAAGTTGTAGAGCACTCGTCTTGAGCTGAAGAGCTGAGGGACAGCACTCAAGCCCAGAGTTCAAGCCCCAGGACTGGTAGAACACACACACACACACACACACACACACACACAAACAATAACAATTGAGCATGTTTTGGAGGTAGATGACCATCAGCTATCACTCTGTATTGCTTTTCAGTTGTTTTATTTGTTTATTTATTTTTACCAGTCCTGAGGCTTGAACTCACAGCCAGGGCAATGTCCCTGAGCATCTCAGGCCCAAGGCTAGCACTCTACCACTTTAGCCACAGAGCCACTTCTGTTTTCAGTTATTTTACAGGCACATCTTCCTCAACAAGGAGTCCAATGTGGAACCACCTCATGTGTCTGATAACCTACAACATGAAATTGTTCAGCTGCAAAATGATGATGAGCTAAAACCTCATCAACTTCCTACTGCTTGAGTTCTATAAACATCACATAAGCAATGATGAATTTCCCACTCTGGGGAGACATCCATTGGAATATGCTTCTGTGTTCAGAACAACCTACTCGGGCTGGGAAGGTGGCTCAGTGGTAGAGCGCTTACCTTGCATGCCTGAGGCCCTGAGTTCGATTCCTCAGCACCACATAAGCAGAAAAAAAGCCAGAAGTGGTGCTGTGGCTCAAGTGGTAAAGCGTGTTAGCCTTGAGCTGAAGAGCTGAGGGACAGCGCCCAGGCCCAGAGTTCAGGCCCATGACTGGACCCAAAAAAAAACCCCAGAACAACCTACTGCTATGAGCAATTCCTTTAAAAACTTATCATCAAAAGCACATGCCTGTAATCCTAGATATACAGGAGGCTGAGATCTGAGGATTGCGGTTTGAATCCAGTTGAGGCAGGAAAGTCTGTGAGACAATTGTCTCCAATTAACCACCAAAAAGTCAGAAGTAGACTGAGGTTCAAGTGTTAAGAGTGCTAACCTTGAGCAAAAAAAAAAAAAAAGCTCAAGGGCAGAACCCAGGCCCTGAGTTCAAGCCCCAAGACTACTACAAAAAACAAACAAAAACAAAAACCTTACCATCACAGTCAACTAGGTTCCATACTGACCCTGACACAAACCTGGAAAAGTAGTTGAGTCATCCATACATACCTCACCAAAGGGGGCAGTTCCAGCTATTATGTTAAGGGTGAGCTAATTAAATGTTTGACCAGATACAGAAGGCTAATTTGTGTGTGTGTGTGTGCTGTCCTAAGGCTTGAACTCAGGGCCTGGACACTGTTTCTGAGCTTTTGTGATCAAGGCTAGCATTCTACCACTTGAGCTCCACTTCTGGATATTTGGTGGTTCATTGGAGATAATTATCACATATTTTCCTGCCTGGCTGGCTTTGAACTGTGATTCTCAGAGCTCAGCCTCCTGGGTAGCTAGGATTACAGGTATAAGCTACAGGCACTCAGCTAACTGTTTTTTTTTTTGTTTTTTTGTTTGTTTTTTGTTTTTGCCAGTCATAGGGCTTGAACTCAGTTCATGGGCCCTTGTCCCTGAATTCCTTTGTTCAAGGCTAGCACCTTTGAGTCACAGCTCACTTCTGGTTTTCTGGTGGTTAATTGGACTTAAGAGTCTCACAGACTTTCCTGCTCTAGCTGGCTCTGAATCATAATCCTCAGATCATAGCCTCCTGAGTAGCTAGGATTACAGGTATGAGCCACCAGCACCCTACTAAAGGCTAATTTTTAAGTTGGCAATTTTGTATGGCCCATAAATGATGTTATAAATATCCAAATGGCCCTTGGCAGAAAAAAGGTATGATGATATATACCATCATATTAAATACAACTTGACAGCAGCTGTAAAAAGATAACATACATCCTTGCTAATAAATACACAGGACTTCTATTTTTCTGAGGGTTTCCTATGTACCTAGTACTGAGCTAAATGTGTAAAAAACTAAACTTATTAATGCATTGGTTGCTAGAACAGATAAAACAGCTCAAGAAGAGGTCACAGAAGTATAGGAAGTTGCTGGGAGCCCCTTTGCCAGCTCTGTCTCCCAAGCACTTACTATTCTCCCCAAATTTTGTCCACTCTGACACCAATTTACACTTAGATTAGAGGAAACAGAGATCATCAGTTGGAAACTTCACCAATTTCCTGCCTGCTCCTTACCAATAGACACAATAGTTCCTACAAACTTAGAGGACAGGAATGTACAAAGCCTGGGGAGTGCCCGAATTCACGAGATTATCCCTCCCTTCCTTGTCCCTGTAAGTTTTCTTCAAGAGAATAACAAGATTAGGTCTTATTAAGAAGAAAAAGCCAAGCACTGATGGCTCATACCTGGATTCCTAGCTATCAGGAGGCTGAGATCTGAGAATTGCGATTCAAAGCCAGATGGGGAAGGAAAGGCAGTGAAACTCTTATCTCCAGTTAAGCACCTAAAAACGGGAAGTGAAGTTATAGCTCAAAGTGCTAGAGTGCTAGCCTTGAGCAAAAATAAGCTCAGGGATAACACCCAGGCCCTGAGTTCAAACCCTAAGACCAACCAAAAAAAGAAGAAACCATGTTGTAACCCTACCTCTCCTGACTCACAACTCTTGGCTTGTTAACTAAGCCTAACCAAAGCTGTGATATTCAGGACTATCTCTATGCAGAGCAGTCTTGCAGGGTCACTGGGGTGCAGATCCTGTAGTCTGAGTCATTCATTCTTGTGGTGCTCCCACAGGTGGAGTCAGACTAGTTAGCAGATGATGTTACAGGATAGTCATGGCTGCAATTCCCATGAGCACAGGATGTCATGGAGACAAAAAAGAGGGCCATCTAAACTAGGTAAGCGAT